TAAGTAGGTGGCATTTTCTTTCTGGAGAAGAAACCATTGATAGGCTAATTTAGTATTTGTGTTGTGCATTAAAGAAATACAGTGATTCTCACTCCGAGCACTAATGAACAAAAAAGAGTACCGGAATTGGCTGGAAGGTTGGGTTGTGGATATTCAGCAGCTGATAGGAATGCTAAATGCTGATAACCACCCATGAAACTAATGTATTCCAGTGTGTTGCTAAGAGAAAGGAATTTAATTCTCAGGAAGGCAGAATGACTAAATATTGCTATCTGGAACTAATGGTTGTTTTCACTGTTTGAGTACTTCAGATATTGGCATCATATGTGTTTATAATGTTTTCTAATGACTAGTATTTTCTTTGAAATTTCTAAAAAATTAAACAATATATTCAAAGTATTGATAAAGTTCAAGGCTTTATGTTGAGGCTGGAACCTATTTCAGTGTCTCTGTATTACTCATCTTTGACCATATGCTCCTTACAAGAAAAAAAATGCTGAGTTTTCTACAGTTTCTCAGGGATTTTTTTGTCTGGGTCCAATTATTTGGTTTCTAATATCATTATTATTATTTTGATTGCCCTTAGTTTTGAGGACACTAACTAGGGGAGAAAACCTTTGCTTTTTTTTACGTCTGTCTATCCAAGGCAGTAATGACTTGGGACATTACAGACACTTTCATTGATATTACCTCATAACTTTGCTTGCAATTGTAAATACAAATTGATCCTGATGTATATAGTATTTGAACCATACGATTTTTTCAGTGTTTTTCTCGCAATTATGTAATCAGACTATGCGCTCTCTTTGGTGTACCTATTAAACCCAGGACGAGTTACATTCATTTTAGTTAATTTATAGCAAAACCAGTTCAGATCAAATTATGTTTGGCTATCAGGATTAAAATATGAATGGTGTTGAGAAGGAACATATTTTTGACTTTTTTTTTCTATAATCCCTCAATGAACCATTCAACATGCTACATGTAAAATGCTGAAGTAATTCACCTGGATGAAAGATGTGAGCTTGATATAAATGTAGTAAGACTTCTGTAGTGAAGGGTAAAACATACTTTATTAAAGGGACTGTTAGGTATGACCTGACTCAAGTCACTCAGTGTGAAGGTAGAGAGACTGAGAGTTGATACAGCAAGGGAATACTTCCGAAGAAACTTTTAGAGCCTAATGTTTGATAGTTTAAGGTGAACCAAAGTTCTTTAGGCTGTTAGCACAATGCTGTCCTCTGGTGGAATGGTGTAGCATTAAAAGAGCATTTTACACTGATCAGAAGGATTTTAATTAGATGTGATCTCTGTTACGCAGTGTATGTTATATAGCAGTATCAAAATAGAACAAAATTTGAGGATGCCTCCAATATAATCTATGATGTAATGTAATCTGTAGCAAAAATGGATATTTCTTACTCTTACCATTCCAAGCCAATATTTTCCATAAGATGAATCAGAAGCTCTCATTGAACAGCAAGTTGTTGGGGGTTAAAAGGATTTCATTCTGTGATTCTTTCAGAAATTGATAGTAACAGTTCTTGCAAGTCAGAAGCGTATCTGAATAGCTGTCATAGATTGTTCATGCTTTTCTTTAGACTGGTTCTGTGCTTTTGTTCCCTGCTTTAAAGTGAGCTTCTCCAGAATGTGTTTTTTTGTTTTGGTTTGGTTTTTTTTTCACAAAACCAGTGATTAATGTGGATACATGCTGTTTAGTCTGACAGTCTTGAATCTGTTACATACCTGCCATACTTGGAAATGTAAGGTAAATGCAGGGAAATATGGATAGACACATACTGAAAGACATGCTATGCTAAATAAAATGTTATATCTGGGGATTTGAGGTTTGTGCAGAATGAACTTTTGGAATTTAAGTTTATGTAAAGATTAAAGTGTAAAAGATAAAAATCAAAAGCTTTTGTTATAGGAGAAAGAATAAGGTAGGAGGAAATTATTTGGTTTTTTTTCAGTTTCTAGATCGCATGTTGGATAGGTAGTCAAGATTTTGGCAGCCAAGTTTTAGGCTTGTAGAAGAACAGGAGCAACTGTCAAGCCTGACTTTACTCAGACTGTTATAAAAAGTGAAAAATAAGTAATATAATTTCTGGAAAAGAGAACCTGCTGGGTTCAAGGGGAGGTCTGGGGATTTTACAATGTGTTTAACTCCTAGATTTCAAGGTAATATTTACCCTTTTGCAGTTTTCATTCTCTGCTACAGATAAGGATTTAAATGTAACCTGGTACATCCCTTGCTCCCAGCCTATTCCTGGAGTGGAGGATGAGGTGGTTATTGTAAAATACCGACTTTGAGAGGTCTAGAAAGAAGGCTGTCTATAGAACATTCCTATTCTCTTGGTCTGACTTCACCAGCCATAGGGATGTGTTATGCTAATATTAGTTTTTTTCTGTTTGAAGCAGATTTTAGATAGTCTAATAATTGATCATAAGTAACAAAGTTGTCTGTTTTTTGAAGACCTGGTAGATTCTCACTACAAATGTTCTAAAGTTTTAAATACCAGTATTGTTCTGGTTTATGTTTATGGCTGAATTCCCCCAAAGTTAATGTCACATCATATATGGAGACTGCAATTTGTAATAATGTGGAGAAGTATTGACATTAAGAAAACATGTAAATGAGAGCTTTTTAAAAATGTCTGGTTTTAAGTAGGAATTACGTAAATGTTTGAGAGAACACATTACAGGAGTTTGTTGCAAAGAGGCTTACATCTGCATTAAATCAGTTGTTCCAAGCTTAAATGGAAAGAGTGGGAAAAATACTACTTTCTGGAGAAGCATGGGTTAGTACTTTAGTTGGGAAGCTGTTTGTGTCTGACATAGGTTAAACTAATCTGCTTATTTCAGTGTGATGTCTAACTTGCTGATCAGCTGTTTTCTAGAAAGTTTAGTAGGCAACAAAAAGACTTGCAGTGCTGCCAGTAGCTGCTAAGTGTTGTGTGTACAGCATCCATTGTTGGGGAGATCTGCTTGCTGCATATGTAGAATTTTGCGGGTCTCTGTGTGGAAGGAAAAAAGCAAACAAACCAACTGAAGGAGTGAAATTCAGACTACAGGGTTAGCAAGCAAAGTGATGCCTGGAAAGGCTGACCTGAACAGAGACTAGACAGAGCAAAAGGAATAAAGTAAGTATTTCTTGAAAGGATACACCTTGGACAGTGCAAGAGCCTGGCCAGAGCTGCACTCAAGTCGAATCCAAGATGCATTCTGGTCATGAGTTTTAACTTTTATAAGTTTTGGTTCATCCACATATTGGGGTCAGTTGTCCAACCACAGCTCGAGGTTATGAAGTCTCAACCCCTTGGCTTGCCCCTTTCGCTTTGCCCTTGTTCATGTTTTTTGGGTAACGGGTGTCCTTGATTCTCTAGCTAGGGAGGGAATGTTTTGTCTGACTGTGAAGAGAACTTACTAACACATAACATGAAGTTTCAGAGTTACATACCAAGCAGCAGAGAGTCTGAAAAATATAAAAGCTAAAACCCAAGGCATCACAAGTGCTCTCAGAAATTAGCCTGCTGTCAGTGTCTAAATCATCAGTTTGTTAAAAATCGTTCTGATATTTATGGATGAAACTTGAGAGAAAAGAAAGTTAAGTGAGAAAGACCTTTTTTTTTCCTCTTTTAAGCTAACCAAACCAATTTTGAAGGTAGTAACATCCTCAAAACATAGTTCAGCTATTAACAGAGATTCTGAAGGTACTTTCTTCTGATATGCTGTTCCATGTAGAGCGGTGCTTGCAGAATACATGAGCACTGAGGTGAATAAAAAATAGATTCAGTATTCACGTAAGCACCATGCTTAGATATTAGAAGCTATTAGTGCCTCAAGCTGTCCCGGGAGGTGAAGAAACTAAAGGCAAAAGTGACAAAATTATTTTGCTCACTGTTTCTTTAAATGAAATGATGCAATTGTTTGAACAAGTCAGGGAGATTCAAAAGAAATTGTTTATTGATGTGTTTCTGAATTACTTGTGGTAAAGCTTATGTTAGATGCTACAGAGTGGAGTAGTAAAAAAAGTGCAAAAAATGTGCAAAAATATTTTGTAACTCACACTAGTCCTCTGACAACTAGGCTTAGAAAAAATAGAGATACGGCTAATGTGACCTTTTTGTTCTGGCAATTTACTCTAAAATTGTCTGTGCTTTTACCAAACTATGAAGAATAAATCTTAAGTGATGCCAAAAGAAGGTGTTGATTCAAATCCTGCCTTGGTTGTACACACTGGTTTATTTTGTGAAAGCCCTTAATTTGCTCCTGCAATTGAAAGATGTTTGTGTTAGCCTTCCCAGGTTACAAGATTATGTCACTTCTGCACTGACTAGGCAACCCAGAGAGAACTGAAACCATACAGAGAAAAATGAAAACTTCTTGAAGCTATAAAGCCTTTCTCCAGTGTGGCTACTTTACATTGCAAAGAATGAGCTTAAGGGAGAAATAGAATGGAGAAAACCGATGCAGGCTAAATTAAGAAAACGTGGGAAAAGGTCCTCATTTCTATACCACATGAAACGTCTGGCTATAGTGTTACTCTGAATTAAAATGTTAGGAAGTGTTGAATTAAAGCTGGAAAGCTAGTACATTTTTGGCAGTGATTGATTTGGTTGTTGTTTTTTTTTTCCTCTCAATCAGCCATTATACCAGTTTACCTTAAAAGTGGCACAATTCCTGACTGGGACAGTGAAAATACCAGTCAATAGTAAGAGGTAAAGGTGTCTATAGGAAGATGCAGCCAAAGAGCTTTTAAAACTTAGCCTGTTATTATTTCAGGTGTTTGAGTCTGCTTTACTTCAAGAAGTCAAGATCCTAATTTTGGGAGACTGGTGTCTTTTAAAGACATAGATGGATTTAAAAATTGAGTCTTGTGTCAGCTGAACATGACGTGGTTGGCTCTGTTTAGTTATTGAGATGCAATAGCAACAAATCTGCCTTGTAAAAAATAAGTGTATTTGTTGCTGTCTTAAAGCAATTTTATTTGTTTACAGGTGTCAGCTGTGATGCATGTTTAAAAGGAAATTTTCGAGGTCGCCGGTACAAGTGTTTAATTTGCTACGATTACGATCTGTGTGCAACTTGTTATGAAAGTGGTGCAACGACAACAAGGCATACAACTGACCATCCAATGCAGTGCATACTAACAAGAGTAGATTTTGGTAAGTGAAAATTTCAAACTCCAGTAATTTGTTGCTATACTGTGTCCACAAACATAATGCCAATTATCATGTTTCTAATTATTAATCACTTACCCCATTAGTGCACTAAAAATAAGCTCTTGAGTTCTAACAAGCAGGCATGTTTTGTTTGATAAAAGAACTGATTTTTTTTTTTTTAACTGCTGCATATGTATTGCTGATTTTGTTGCTTTGGTCTGATTACAGCAGATTATCAGATAATAAATATACTTAATCACAGTGACTACTGTTAAAAGTGCCACAGTCTACAGGCACAAAAAAAATCTTGGTGACATTTTATAGAAGGTCGTTCATTTCTGGTTTTTGTGAGACTGTAAGTACAGGACAGGTAAAGTGATGGGCTGCAATGAGTATGAGAGATTAGGGGTAAGGACTAGCATGTAGTCTTTTTGGAATTCCTTTGTCAGTCTCCTAATCCAAGAGTTATTTCTAACTGTAAAGCCTTGTCAGTATTTAAAATAAATAATAATTGTTCTTGTGTCCTGTCCAGCTTGTTGTTTCTGTTGCCTTGTAGTTGAAACTTGTGAGAAATCATTTTGTGAAATCTATTGCTCTGTGATGTTGTTGATGCTGTACATATATTTTCTTTTGATGTCAAACACACGGGACTAGTATTTCAGTATTTTTTCCTAGTGACTGCAGCACTAATCTTCATTTTTTGAATCCTTTAAATATGATGATTTCTCAAAAGCTAATAAAAGAAGTCCTAACTTCTTTACCTTTTTGATTAAAACAAAAGTAAAATTTATATACTTCACTGGTCTAAAGTTTAGAGAATAGCTACGTATGGAAACATGCAGTTAAAACAACCTTTATATGAAGTTGCCTTCAATTTTCTTTTGATTCTCAGGGCTACTCTTGCCCTGACACTGCCTGGTCATAACTTCAGAAATCCAGATCATGGGAGTCTGTGGTTTCAAGGAAATAACTTAGTGTATTATCAAAAATACATGCCCCTATTTTAACTTAACATGTTTTTCGTCAGGCTTTTCTTTTTTCCTCTGTGTACAGTATTGGGGATGAAGGTCCCTGTTTCAAATGCACGGTTGAAACTTCTTAACCTGTTAGCAACAGTTATTTTTGGATATTAAACATGGGCTAATAAGACAGTATTGCTGTAAGTACTAAATACTAATCACAGGGGTAAGAAAACTGAAACATACTAACGTTAAATGTCAGAGATTTCTGTGTACTGCAATAAGAACTTCCTCTAAACTATGCTTTTTTTTAAAAAATGCCTATAGTTAGAAGCTTGAGAATGACTTAGAAATATGTTTTGTTTCTTGCAACTTGGTTACTTCTCCTTTGGAAGTCTTTGATAAATGTACCTTTGGCTTAATGCTTTTTATTGTGTGCATGTTGTAGAGACACAGAGGGGTTATTTTTTGCTATTTAAGTATGCATGAAGAAGGTTCACAATGAAGTATTTAGATAGGTAATAGGATTTGAAGGGCAACTTCTATTTTGCTTAGTGTATATGCTGTTTATTCTCTAAATGAGAATAAGAAAACAAGGTCTGTAAATTTCATATGACTTGATATCCAAGCATTATTCCCACAGAACTAGTATAAGGGAAGAAAATACTGCAGTTCAGCTCTACAGTAATTTATTGGTTTGATTAACTGTGCAGAACAATTAATATCACCAAACTGTGAGCCACAGCAAAGTCTGATGGTACTGAATTACTACTGACCTTGTAAGCTTATAGAGTGGAGAATGACTTGAGAAAATTAATAAACGACATATTCCTTAGAGTTCAGGAAGATCTGTGATATCATTCATAAAATGTTTTGATTTTAGAGTTCCATGTAGAATACACATAAAGGTGTATATTGTACAGATGCTTAAAGAAACTGGTGACTTTTCAAAGGACCTTGTGTGGCTAAGGAGTGACTTTGAGGAACGTGCAAAAAATTAGATACTAAGAAATGTTAAGTTTAATTAGAAAACCAATAATAAATGGTAGAAGTAGTCTAAAATTACCTGAATCAGGGTTGTTAGGATAGTTGTATTAGTGGATATTAATTTCTGAGATAAAAATAATCACAAGGGTAAAATTGGCAGCTAAGTGATACTGTTCTAGTTTATTCCCAGCCAGCAGCCAAGCCCCACACAGCTACTTGCTCACTCCCCACCAGTGGAATCAGGGAGAGAACTGGAAGGGTAAAAGCTGAAAACTCCTGTCTTGAGACAAAGACAGTTTTAATAGGGTAAGCAAAAACAGTGCACACAAGCAAAGCAAAACAAGGAATTCATTCAGTGCTTCCCACCAGCAGGCAGGTAGTCAGATAGCTCTGGAGAACAGGGCTCCATCATGCCTAATGGTGTCTTGGGAAGACAAAAAACATCACTGCAAATGTTACCTCTTCCTCCTTCTTCCCCCCTTTACATACTTTATATCCTGAGCATGGTATCATATGGTCCAGAATCTCCCTTTGGTCTCTTGGGGTGACCTGTTCTGGCTATGTCAATTTCCCATGCTTCCCAACTTCCTCGCTATTGTAGCAGTGCAAAAATCAGAAAAGGCCTTGGCTCTGTGTAAACCCTGCTCAGCAGTAACAAAAGCATCTTGCTATTATCAGTTCTGCGTTCAACAGAAATCCAAAAGATAGCCTTGTACTTCACACTGTGAAGAAAATTAACTCTATACTATCTGAAAGCAGCACAAGCACAGAACTAATAAAGTCTTCAGTAGTTTGCTGGTGATGTGGGAAGTCCAATGAAAGGACAGTGTTTGTAATGTATGACAATATGAGTAGGGAATTTTCTTAAGGAAGGAAGATGTTACTAGAAACACAAATTGGAAGCTGTTAGTGTAACTAGGTGTGTGAATTGTAGTTTACTTGGCTACTGATAAACTTCAATGCTTTCATCTGTAGACAGGTTTGTTTCAAAGGTATGAAAATATTTTAAAAGCAGTAAACTTGAAGGTTTTGCTTATGATAAAGAGGAAGGTGGACAGCTAGTGAAAAAATGAGTATTTTTCAAGGAAAAGGAAGCAGAGTGGAGAATCCTTCTGTCGCAAAACTGATCCGAGCACTTCAGAGGAAGTCACTGTCATTTTTCTAATTTTAAAAGTGCACATGGAGATCAGCAAGTCATTTGCCCAAAATCTATCTGCTGCTGATAATAAAGACCCTGTACCATTAAATCTCACACCACTCTGGCCAGCACTGTTTAGACATGGGTGTCTGTGGAGTTCACTTCAGTACTCTGCCTGAAGCTGCAGCCAAGTTGTTTGTGGTGGACAGCTGACAACATGGATGATCCTTTCAGCATAGAAAAAGTCGCATATTGTTTACCTCCATCAAAGCTATGATCAGTTTTTAGAGTTCCTAGATACAGAAATAATGTTGCAGAATATACTGCAAGAAGATGGACTTTTCCAGGTACTCTGAAAGAGCTTTTGTTGTCAGCTTGACACATTTTGATTTCTTTTTTTCCCTTGCGATACAGACTAGTATAGGAGTAGTATGAGAACACTGAAAATTAGTAAAAAGCTCTAGTGTTTTCTGGTTGTGCATGTTCACTCTTGCACCATCTGGTTGCCATATTTATCTTTCAGGAGTTAGTATATAACCTATGTATATTAATTTTGAAGTGAGATGGGATCCAGAACAATGACAGGGCTATTGTTCCTCAGCCCCCACAAGAGACACTGGAAAAAGTACTTCAACACACACCAAGAGTGATATGCTGCTGTAAGAGGGACAGACCTTAAAATAAAGTATGAAGTCTCGTATGTAATGAGAAGTGGCCTTTAAAGCACAAATCCAATTTGTTTATTTAGAGGGGTCAAAGAGTAGAATTGTAATAGGTCTGTGCAAAGAACAGGAATGTGCTTACCAAGCAGCCACTGTACTTTTGTGGTCTTTGTAGATCAATTTGTCAGGACAATGGAGAAGTTCACAGCAAATTTCCTAGTTTCCTTTTACTTAAAAAAGCATTTTAAACTGTTAGGATGCTTTAGGGTCTAAGCATGTGGGTTGCCCATTACCACATCATTTTAAAGTGGCTATGCTGACAAATAAAGTAATACAAATTGTTAGTAGGATTCTCTGCCAAAATCCTATCATGTTACTTTGATCGAAGTACAGAACCTACCTTGGTTCAGAAGTGCCTTCACTTGTCAACTAAGTTGCTTGTGTGACAGAAGATCCTGCCACTCTTTGTGCCCAATTCCTAGGCAGAGGGTGTCAATTAAATAATGGGTACATGATAATGTGTAGTGTGAGGTTGAGTAGATTCACCAGAATGCAGCTTGAGAGTTTTGTGGGTTTTTTGGTTTAGTTTTCTTTTTCACACACTAGAACAAGGTATGTATGCGGAAAGTGTACCATGCTAAGTCTGAGCATCGTAGTTAGTTTGGAACAGGACTCTGGAGCAGCTTTGAGGGTAATACGGCTGCTTGATAAGTGATACAAGAACATATATACTTTGTTTTGTTAAATAGTGTGTTGTCACCATTTGGTTTCTTCAAACATTGAAGGAGTTTAAATAAATATACTGCAACTCATGTCATACCAACATTTTTATCTATATGTATAGATCACATTGAAATTACATTAACTTATATGAAGAAAAGTAAAACTAAAATTCTATACTGCTGTGTACCCTTGTAAAGAATTATGTCTTAACAAAAAGTAAAAACTGTTAGAAAATGTAGTCCTGATCAGATGTCTATTTGAAAGATTGATTTTTATCTAAGGAATTCTGTAATACTTCTGTTTCGTCACTAACCTTCTACCAATTTTAATAATGTGCTAGTTAGATTTTAATATTAAATATACATATAACTTTTGTAGCCATAGATGGATAAAAAAGCAAAGCTACTGATAGTTTTGGTTGCATTTTCACATTTGATTCAGGTTGTTTCTTGGAGTTTTTTTCCCCACCAAGGAAAAGCTATAATATCTAAACACTATTGTGCTTGAAAACTGACTTCATAAACTACTGTTGAGTCCTCATCAGACAGTGTTCTGATCCTTCTCCTCCTTTGCATTCTTCCCCTAATTCATAAGGAATATGGGTCACAAATCTTATCCTAGAGGGATGCAACTGAATCTGGTTTTACTTTTTTACTAAATACTTTTACTTGTCTTTCTAAGCATCTTGAACAGAGGGCTTTAGAGGTCTAGAGGAGTTTGAAGAAGTATGGACTCCTGCTTTTGTCTTTGAAATGAACCAAAATTTTAATATCTGACAGATTGCTTTGTGGTCAGAAGAGGCAATTCTTCTATCATGGGCACATCACATTTTAAACTCACAGATTTGTAAATGAAAAGACTAACACAATTGTAGGTTGCTTCATTTCTGCAGCCGTGGAGGCATGGTATTTTCGTTTTTTCCCATATTGCCTCTAATTCTTAGTTAACTTCATTAGCAAAGGACCCCTTGGTAGTCAAGGACATGACTGTTCATTATTTTAGGATTTTTTTATGTGCTTGTAGAAATAAACAGATGGAGAAATACCCATTCAGTACCTCCAATGCTAAAATCAGAGATAAATATTCATGAGACCATTTGATTACCAACCTTATTTTTTTTTAACTTAGATTTTAATTTAAAGGAAACTTTATCTGGTGATCTGTATTTCTCTTCTTTCAGAAGAGATTTTGATAGTAAGAGTGATTAAAGTTGAAGAGAAAAAATGAAGGGAGGTATAAACTTAGAAAGGAAAAATATCTACATTTGCCAGCTTTAACTTCTGCACATTTTCTAATACTTCTTTTTCCAGATTAAGGCATATTTATTTCGCATTCTCATGTATGCTTGATGTATATTACAAGAAGGATGTGGAAGGAGGTGTGAGTGGGAGAGCATGCTGGAGGTATAATCAGGAGGTTGCAAAGAGCTCCAATTTTTATTTTATTAGCGAATATTTTGTATTCTTTGAAAACAGCGAACAACACGGGATTGGGCAGTCTTGTCAAACCTCCCCCCTCTGTGATAGAACTGTGTGTACTTCTAAAATTCTTGGTATCTGGATTGAGCTAACAGTGTATCTAAGGGAAAGATACCTCTCTGTGCATGCTTATCTATTTACAGCTCTCTCCAGATGGGTTGTGACTCTGGGGCTCTGGGCGCTTTGCTCAGCTGTGAAGTTGGAGTTGCCATTGTTGCCTTACTTGAAAGTACATTCATTCATTCTCAGTGAGTTTTATAGGTAGAGGTTTTTAAGCAGTCTGATATTTAAGAGGTTCCTTGTTTGGTTGGTTTTTTAATTGTGTGTTGTGTTTTTTAATATTGATGTGAATGAGAAGCTTGTTCATGTTTCCTGTAACATACAAAATACCTGCAGAGAATGAGAGATAATAGGATTCTCTTCTTGTATGATTTGATAAATTTTCATCTTAAGTTTGGGGAACTTCTGTGTTAGCAACTTAAAAGTGCCAGCTTTTCATCAGTGGTGCAGAAGTGCTCACATTCAACACACTTAAAAGTTGAAGCCCACGTGTAACAGATACCCAGATTTCTTTTTCACTATCCAACTTTTATGTTATATATATGAGATACTTCTGAAACTACTTAGTCACCAAGGACATCTAAATTTTGATCTAAATTTGAGGTTTTGTCTAGAGTTTAGCTTCTGAAATTTCATCTTATAATAGAAAAATACCATAGTTGACCCTCTCTGTGGGATAAGAACAGTGGTGGAAAAGTGAAAGTTTGGCAGTATCAGCAGCATCATGATGGAAGTCTTTTTTTCCTAGTAAATATTGGAAAACTAAGTTATATGTGCTAATGAAAATGAAACTCAGTCTGATTTTTCTTCATCAGTAACTGAACCCCTCCTGAATATATCCATTTCAATGAAAAAAAAATAATAGATTTAGCAGGGAATACAATGAAGAACATTTATATACAGGTTGATGGGAACAAAATTAATGGTGATACTGCTTTAAAGTAACTTTTATTTAATCTCTTCCTGTTTCAGACTTGTACTATGGTGGGGAAGCTTTCTCTGTAGAGCAGCCACAGTCTTTCACTTGTCCTTATTGTGGGAAAATGGGGTATACGGAAACATCTCTTCAAGAACATGTTACTTCTGAGCATGCAGAAACATCAACAGAAGTGGTAAGAAGCCTCAGAATTTACATTCGTAGTGGAAATGCATTTTAAATGGTCTCATTTCTGAAAATTTGTCTTCCTGTTCTTTCTTGAAGCATGTATTCATTTAAATGCTTTGTCAGAAGAGAAAGTATCTATGCTTAGAATAACACCCAAATTCCTCTATGATTTATGGATATCATAATATAAGCTTGCTTCCTTATTTTAGAGTTTTTGCTTGTCCTGATACAAAGGCTGCCGTGTTTATGAGATTCTTATACTGTCAGACAAAATTTAGAAAGTTCTCACAGTTACTCTGTCTAGCTGTATCTCCTTTTTCATAATTAGTATGCAGTTGTTCTTCAAGCTTACAGCTATGCCGATCTTTTGTAACTGTAAGAGAGAGAGACATGCAGATAGTTTGTTTTCTAATAGCTTTTTTAATGGACCTCTGATTTTATGCAGTGGAATTCTGTAATTGTTTTAAAACTATTCCACTCAGAGCAGGGGGTTTTCCCCCATCCCTAACCATTAGGACAGTAAATGTGGTTTAATATGCACTTCTTAAACAAGTTTTAACACAAATACTTTAATTGGAGATGTATCTTGATAAACCTTAGGAGTAGGAGAAACTGGGTTAGCAGTTCAGCAGAATGACATGGAGGCTGCTGTTCTGTGGTTAATCCTAGACCCCTAGGAAAAAAGCAATGCTTGCATTGCTCATCACTAACACATTGTGTGAAATTAGTTGTAAATCGGTTCTCTATTCTAGTCTTCCAGTTTTCTTAATTTTCAAATAATTCTGTGGAAGAAAATGAATGACTCTTGGAACCTAATAAGGACCTTGGGTGAAGGGGTGATATGGAATGGTGTTTGTTCACCTTTTTGGGACTCAAAGGGGTTACAAGCTTTCTTAAAAGCACAGGAAGTGTTTGCTTCACCATCAGTTGGACCGTGGTGTATAATATAACTTGGTGACACATTGCAATTTTACAGTTTCTCTGAGTTTTTCTTAAACTTTGCAACTTTCAAACATAGCATCAACCGTTGAAAGTTCTGCATTTAGATTACTTTGTTGCTTGATATTGCAGTTCCGATTTGCACCACTTGATGTCAGTGATACGTTCCTAGCACTGAGTGTTCACAGATCCTGGGCTGTTAAACTTGACATGCCCTTGTTTGCAATTGTGACTTCCAGAACTCCACACATAAAGCCTGAATTTGTGATTCTTCACAGCTGCTACTGTGGTGAATCCTGAAAGAATTATATGTGTACAAAAAATTAAAAATCGCACAAAACTTTCTTTTTATGCATCAGTCTGCAACACTATTACATCATTATTGCAAACAATTATGAAGGACAATCTTTTAATCCTTGAATACGTTTGTTACTGTTTGTAACAGAATCTGGCATTTGTGGTAAATGTTTAGTGTGCATGCACATAAAGTTTTTTGGGTACTGTACCCTTACTGGGATGGCGAACGGCTAAAAGACTAGTAAAGAGGAAAATATTATGGATTCTAAATGTTTGTGGTTATAGGCTTTCAGACAATTATTTATGTTTACATACTGAGCTTCTTGTTGTTTGAATATCTCCTTCCAAAGATGTGCTTTATTTTAGACATGTATTTTTAGGGATGTAAGGGAACTTTACAGGGACAGAATAATTTTTATTGGCTTTTCACCCCCATTTTTTCAAAGAATAAGCAAAAAAAATTCATCTGTTAAATTTTACCATTTTTATATTCAAAGTGGTGCAGATAAGTTTGCTTTCCTCTGATTTTTCTCACGTATAGGCATTGATAAGTACAGCTGTGTTAGGTATCTGCAGGCAGGAATCACATGCTGAATGTGATTGAGAGGGACCTCTGGGGGTCATCTTGAGCAGGTCCACGTACAGTTGGTTGCTCAGGATTGTGTCCAGACAGTTCCTTAATAGTGACTCCACAGTTAACTCTCTGATTAACTTGTACCAGTGGTCAGTGATCCTCACAGTTAAAAATGTTTCCATGTTTTCTAATGTTTATAAGGAAGCTCCTGTGTTTGAATTTGTGCCTACTGTATCTCATCCTGTCACTGCATGGCTCTATCGTCCTTTTAGGTTCCTTTCAGGTATTCATAGACATTCCTGAGATCCATCCCCGTTTACCCTGCCCTTCTCCAGGCTGAACAGTTCCATCTTTCTCAGCCTTTCCTCCATTCCTCTGTGTAACCTTTTACTGAGCTCTTTTCAGTGTGTCCATGTGTGGAGCTGAGAACTGGACACTAATGCTGGCTGAAGGCAAAAGAATACAACTCTCAACCTGCTGGCAGCTCTCTGTTCAACGTAGCCCAGAACACCACTGGCTTCTTTGCTGCAAGAGCACACTGTTGGCCCGTGGTCCACCAGGACCCCAGGTCCTTTCCTGCAAAGCTGTTCCATATCACTGGCCTCCAGTATATGCTGGTTCCTGGGGATATTTCTGCCCAGGTGCAAGACTTTGTACTTCCCCTTCCTGTTGTCTGATTTCTTCAGATTTTTAAGGTTGCTCTAAATATCAGCATATCTAAATATGTAATCAGCAGAATTCCCACTGATCACCACCCTCTGAGCCCATCCACTGAGACAGTTGTCACTCTACCTTACCCTCTGCTTATCCCGCCTGAGCATCAACAACTTATCTTTGAGCACCCTGTGAGAGGCAGTGTCAGTGGTCTTACTTGAAGTCCAGGTAGAAAATTTCTCCTACTATTTAGTCATCTGGCAGGCCAGACACTTCTGCATTGAAGTTTAGGAAGCTAGTCAAGCATGTCTTCCTCTTTGTGAAGCCAGTGCTGACTACTGTTGATGATTTTCTTGTCTTTAATAGTCCCTAAAAATAGTTAACAGTAGTTTCCTCACTTTGCCAGGGATCAAAGCAAGATGACCAGCCTGTAGTTCTCTGTCTTCCTCATACTTGCCTGTCTTTTAAGATAGGAGTGAAATTTGCTTTACTTCTGTCCTCAGGCACGTCTCCCAGTCACCATGATTGTTCAGAGGTTGAAAGGAAGCTCACAATGGCACCTGCCAGCTCCCTCAGCACCTCTTGGTGCATCACACCCATCACAGCCTGTGGGTTTAAGTATTCTAGTTCACATAAGTATTCCGCAGAGTGATCCTCTTCCAGCAGGGGAATGTACTCCAGACTTTACCCCTGCTCTCTGGGGCCTGGAGTTGCTAAAAACCAGTCTTGCCAGTAAAGACCATAGCAAAGAAGGTATTCAGTACTTCAGCCTCTTCTGTGTCCTGTATAACTCAGCTTCATCTATTTTGAGCAATGGGCCCATATTTTCCTTAGTTATCTTTATTTTCTATGTACTTCTAGAAGATCTTCTCTTACCTTGGACATTACTTGCCAATTCAGTTCCATTTGGACTTTAGCTTTGCTTACATTGCCCTGTGACACTCAGATAATTCTTATGGTAGGCTACACTATGGCTTCCCCTAGGAGGGTAACCTCTGTATGTTTTTGTGTTTGAGTTTGCCCAGGAGTGTCTTGATCATCCATGTAGGCCTCCTGGCATTTTTGTCTGACTTCATATTCATTGGGTTGGAGAACTCTCGAGTTTGGGCGGGAGTGACCTTTCAATATTAACAGGCTTTCTCGGGGCCCCTTTACTCTCCAGGTTCATACATAATGGGACTCCTTCAAGCAGATATTTTAAGAGGCCGAAGTTTGCTTTGCTGAGGTCCAGGGTCATGAGCTTGTTTTTCTTCTTCCCTGCCCTCAGGATCTCAAACTGCACTAGTCAAGGTCACTACAGCCATGACTTTCTTTGACCCTCACATCTTAACTGAGCCCCTCCTTGTTGGTGATGATGAAGTCCCATATACCACCTCTCCTCGTGTGCTCCTTTGTCACTTGGAAGAGGAAGTTACCCTGAGTGCACGCCAGGAGCCTCTTGGATTGCAGTTATGCTGTGTTGCTGCTCCAACTCATACTGGAGTGGTTGAAGACCTCCATGAGGATCAAATCTTGCAAGTGTGAGGCAGCTGCTCCATGACTCTAGAGGGCCTGATCTGTTTATTCACCATGGTCAGGTGGCCTATAGTAGACAACCCTTTGCCTGTTCTCTTCTTAATTCATAACATGTAAGATCTCCATCAGGTCTTCTTCCATCTTCCATCTAGACTGTGCTTTTAATGCACCCCAGCTGCTCTCTCACTTAAAGGGCAAGGCTCCCTTCCTGTTCAAAGAGCCTTCTTCCTCTTCTAAAGAACCAGTATTTCTTCAGCTATATAATGTCCAGGGACAATGGTTAGAGTTAGTTGCAAGGCAGAAGAATCTGAGAATCAGTATGATGGTTGTTTTGTTGGTGTTGAGGTTTCAGGTTAGTTGGAGTGGTCTAGATAAAATGCAGTGTTCAACTATAAGTCCCTTAGCACTGTAAATAAAAAAGAGGTTTAGGAGACTTTGTAAAATACCGTCTCTTCAGTCTTGTTTCATAACAGAGATGGAAATACTCTGCTATTACATTGCACTGCAGCAGCTTTCTCACCTTCAGGAAGGCAGTAACTAGGCTTCTTGTAGATGAATTGCAGGCATTAGGTTGTTACTGGGATGATAAAACTGGGGAGAGCTTTTTTTTGCGTTAATGAAATGGACAGTGAGACAGTCTCTATGTCCCTGTTCATCTTCTAAGACCCCAGTGACTCTTGTTGGTTATGGAAGTGCTGTCACTTAAAGTGCTTACTTTGTATGTAAATGGGGAAGTAGTGGTAATACAAGCGCAGTTCTGGAAACTGGCAGATGTTTTGTGAGTGGATTGACTTAGGACTTTAGAGTCATCATTCAGGGTTGCATGGTGATTTCTTAATACAAATGCTTACAAATGCAAGAGAAAGTTCTGACAACATTTGCCTTTTGTCTGCACCATTTGTTCATGCATGTCATAATTAGCAATGATTTTTAGCTGTGTCATGCTTAATCAGTGATCCAGCAGTCTTTGTTGTGATTCTGTCAGAGTTTATGCTTAACTAATGTTTGTGCATAACAATACTAGAGTAACTGCCCCTAGTCAAGAGTTCTTGAAAATGTAGTTGATATTTAGGATTAGGGTTGGGATACTTTGATTCCTTCTAACTCAACATTTATTATAACCTTTTCTTAACTGATGTTTTTCTGAGGTCTGAGTATATTCACAAATATGTGCAGTTAATAACACCTTCATCATGTTAACAAAAATCTCTCTGGTGATCTCCTGCATTCAGGAGTGGGTTTTTCTTCTTATGTTGGATTTCTGCTTCCTCACAGTAGCTTGATTGCTTTGAAAGTATTGTATTCTCTTGGTATGAGAAGATTAAGCAGCTGTAATTAAGTTTAGAGCATTCAGAACCATCTATCCAATACACATCCATTTCTATATCTCTACAGGCTAGCTATATGATATGTTAGCATAGCTGAGTATTTATTATATTATATTGTGATAAGATGTGCCCTGTAGTACACTTGCTTGGCTTCTGTAGTGGTGAAAAAGCTGTGGAGATAAATGCTGAACACTGAAAATAAGAGGGAAAGAGTTGTAGCAAAAGGCTTTTAAAATGCCTGGTTTTCTTTTTAGAACTGGCCACTAAAATCAAAGTGGAATTAGATGCAGCAGTTCCTGTCAAGAGCAGCTGAGATTTTACGGTAAACTTGTTTCAAGACTTTGCTCTCACCTCCATGAGAGTTCAACAGATGTGTGCTCTTTTATACAGGTGTTCTTAATGCTCATGTAGATCTTTTGAGATCTACTTTCAATAGCTTAAGTATACACATGAAGAAATGAAAGAAAAATGGAAGATGCTGTTTGTGGAGTCATTCAAAGAACAAGACATAATTATGGCAATAGTAGTGGTAATGTTTGCTTGCTTAGTTAACTGTACTTTGGTTTAAAAAGCAAAACAAACAAAACCTACCAAACAAAAACTGTCAAGTGGGGAAAAAAGAAACCCAAAACCAAAAAGAGACCTCAGAACCTGCTCTCAAAATACTGTTGTGGAAACAGGTGTGGAGATCAGCCCTTCTTTGCCAAACCTGCACCACCTGGGTGGGATGGTCTCAGCCTGATACTTAGCAAATATGGGCAGTTCCATTCTGATTTGTCTGCTGGGATGAGTGTCAAGCAGGCAAATAGCATTCCTGTGTGATTCGACTCTACTGTCTATGGGAGAATTGGCATGCAAAAATACTAACTTTCAAGACACTACAAATTGATTTTGAGAATCCTAGCTCTGGTTTTCATGGTATTCTGAAATTCATAAAGTAAAAGATGACTTAAATTAATGTCTGTGCTTCAGTAATTTTTCTGAGTTTACTGAATATGTTGATATCCAGGTATTTGTGAATACAAAATGTGATTTTAAAGCATAAGAGCCAATGTCTGATGATTGACTTGATACAAGTTCTGTTTCTTTTAATATTTATAAAGTTTTTCCTTGCTGTGTCATTTCAGATTTGTCCAATATGTGCAGCATTACCTGGAGGGGATCCGAATCACGTAACAGATGACTTTGCAGCTCATCTTACACTGGAACACAGAGCTCCTAGAGATTTAATATCCTTTCCAATTTGCGACAGAGAGGCTAGACTGTTTCACCTAGTAGTCATGGTGACTTTGTTTGATTTTTATAGTCAAAGGGTCATATTCTGAATTTCCTGGAACTTGGGTTGCTAAAGATGTATGTGTCAAAAATAAAAAGGTTCATCTGCTAGTTTAAAAATTGAAGTGTAGTTGTCAGACTGCACAGACGTACAGGTATACCTGAGAGTGTTTTTTGCTCTAACAGCAGAAACATTTAAAGGATTTTGACATACAGAGTTTTTTTCTACCTACACTGTGTTTTGTTCTGCCTCGTGATTACTCTTGGTGCTAAGATTCAGTGCTGTAGGTATTTTTAATATAAAGATGATTCAAGCATAGCTGCTTGTAACAGGATTGTAAACTTTCTTAATTACTTAAAACACAATCTTTTAATAATATAATTTCATAGTGTTAAGGACATTTTGTAATACAGAACTCAGAAAACCTTCAGATTTTCTGGGGACAAGGATGTTTGTTGTCCTTCAGTTACATTAGCAGCCAGTTATGGACATTTCTCTATGCTTGATGGCTGAAGAGCTTCAACTGTTGGGATTTTTTCATCCTTGTTACAGGAATACTTGTCTCCTTTTAAAATTTTTTTCCTCCCTAGGATTAACTGATACAATATCTTTTTGTCTGGGCTTTTTATTTAATGACATGCAAGCTATGTAGCATCCCTACAGTAAGTAATCTCTGAATTAATCTCTGAATTATTCCTTTGTGTCTCATTTAAACAAACAGAAAAAAGAGTGCTTTATAACTTTGATAGTGGCTCTTTTGTTCAGAGATTTATAAAAAGGAACAATTAAGCTCCAGCAGTTGGGAAAAAAAATCCAAACCCTATCAAATAGAGTTAATTACACTAATAGAAAGGAAAGAGCATTTGAAATGATGGTTCCACTTCAGTTATGATTGCATTTGATTGCATTTAAGTTTGTTAGTATTAACATGATCTAAGGTCAGGACAGACTAAATGCACAGGTTAATTACTGTGCAAAAACTGGATCAGTGTAAAGGAGTTTGGGTGTAAATTGTCTCTGTGAAAGGTGAATGATGAAAAAGTGATACAAAAACTGGTAAAGTTTTTGTAAAAGCAAACTTTTGTCGAAAAAAGATGGATGAAAGCAGTTACCTGTACTTGCCTTTCTCAGGGACAAGAGTAGAGCTCTCAGCACTCAGGAGGAGCAGGGGGCTGAACACGGTGGCTCTGGCCATGAGAGCTTGATCCCGGGCATCCTTGTAGTCCTCGGTGGCCAGGAGTCATGCAGTCATCCCTTTCTGGAGGAGGTGGGATAAGACTGATGAGGAGAGGATATCTGCAACTGGATCTTTCCTGGCCTTTGGTCAGTTTTGAAATGTCGCTTGCTGTGATGTATATGATAGCTGATGTAGTTTGTGTCATTTTAGTTCTGCTCATTGTACCAGCTGTGAGATTTTCATACTACCTGCCTAATTAGGCTTTTTCTAACAAGAATTGCATAACTACATTGCAATATGCCAGAGTTCTAACTGTGGTCTTCTAACATTGGCTTAGCTGTAAGGCAGGAAGTTTAAATTTTCCCAGCTACAGAATGAAATTAATTTCTTGCTAAAATGCACAAGATACTTGATTAGAATTCAGGCTACTACTGCATTTTTACTCCTGTAGTACCATATGACCATTGGATGACTTTTACTTAGGGAATATTTGAGCCAGAAAAGACAATCTTTTTTTCAAATAGAGAGTAAGGTTTCGGTATCAGTCATCTCAAAATGGATCTGTTTTGGGAATACAATGCCAAAAGATAATGCCTGTAGAATTTCCTGCTTGTACTCTATTGTGTTGGTGTATAGTGCTATCAAATCTCCAAAACCTGGTAAGAAGTATCTTGATGTGACTGACATTGGACTCTACATCATATCTAGCAACAGGGAGATCTAAGGTAGGAAAAAAGGAAGAGAAGATGCCCTTTTTCACTCAGGGTCTGAAATAAGTGTAGGAAATAAGAACCATCACTCTCTGATACACCATTATATTGCTGAATATGAAGTGTACAGGAATAATGTCCTGTAATTACCTTTATGTACAAAAAGGAGATAGAGAAGGCTTTTGGCTTGCACTTTCTAGAGTAAAATTTTATTTTGCTGTTTGAGATAAGCTTTTACTGTTAGATCTGCTACAGTTCTGAGGGGTGGCCTTATCCATCAGCTATAAATTAGACATGTTTGGTTAATTTTGTTTTTTTTTTTTTCCTAAAGTTGTCCCAAAACACTGCATGCATTTCTTACTACAAGCCTTGTTCTGCTATTGCAAGGTATGTCATTTATTCCTATAGTCTATGGACAACTCTTTAAAACCCAGTTTCTTTGTTTAGCAGGAAAGTACCTGAAAATTAATTAAATGCATCTTTTCAGCATTAATGATACAAATAGTTCTCACATGATTATTCAGTTTAAATGTTTATCACAAGGTAAGGTTTGCGAAGGTAAGGTTTTCTTACTCTATCATAGCTGGTAAGACTCAAGTGCATGCTTAGCTGGTATTTGAAGAACAACACTTACCTCAAAACACTTTAAAAAGTCTATTGGAAAAGTTAGCCCAGAGCCCTGTGTCTACTTAAAAAATCCCCAGATACTGTCCTGTTCTAACATGTTTAGTTATAAAAAGCTTGCCAAACTACACAGGGTCTATAATCCATCTAATATAGCAACTCATCTCCAGGAGCATGCAAAATTGGCACACTCAGAGGTGCAAGATGCTCTGTACTAAGCAAAGTGTGTTCTGTGCTGGGGAGGTTTTCCTCTTACACCCTAGATGTTAAGTTCTACACTGTAGCATAACTAACAGTTTTAAAAGAAGCAAACGTTCTGTAAAGTCTTCTTGTAATGGCCAGAAGCTCTCTCTTGCCTTGGGAAGTCAAGTCGTTCTTTCAGTCCTAAGTTCTTGACCTCCATGACGTCATGAGGTTCTGCCTCGTAAATGTGATTTATGAAAAGTGCATTGGACGCTCCCTTACACAGAAATTGATACCATATGAGTGGTAACCATACTATTATGGAAATAAAAAATATAGGAGATAGAGATCTAAGATAATTATAGTAACACTAAAGTAAAATATTAAAGCCTATGCTATTTCATTTTTCACCAGTGAGTCATACTAGTGATTTTGAAGAAGAAGCCTTATCTGGGCTGTCTCGGAGGAATAAATGTTAGCAAATTTATGACAAAAAGAATCTTTAAATTTGTTAATTGCTTCAAAGTGTATATGAGAACCTATAAAGTATTCTTTATGTGAAGAGTGACAAAATACAAGCATCTGATGGGGGAAGTGGAAGGAAAATAGAAAATGAAAAGCATCATTGTCATAACTGGAATTAGTTCTTTGGCTGTAAGAAGAAAGGTGAAACAAAGGGGTGTAATAGGTCTGCTGAATACTCCAGAAACCTACAGTTTCGTAAGGACTGAAGTGATGAAATCTCTTGGATAAAAGCATGAAGTACAGAAGTCAAAAGCAATTTGGTAATTATTCTAGTTGGTTTTGACACTTAATGTAAGAATTGGAAAGGGAGAACAGAAATTCCTGCCTCAGTAGTAAGCTTGGCTGAGCATGGATTTGTGTGGATCTTCATAGAAGAATTTGATTTAAAAAAAAACCCTACCAGATCAGTAAGTCTGATTCTGTTGCATAGCTACCATATACCTTAGCTTTGCTTCTGTATTTAAATCATTACTTTATGAGTCAAGTTCGCCTGAGTATATGACCCATCAAATGTCCTTTAATGGTCATTTAACACTCAATGCCAAACAGTCCTGTTTCCTTAACTTCTTGGCTACGATGAATCCAGTGGCGTTCGGCATGTACGTAGGATGTTCCACCCAGGCCGGGGTTTGGGAGGCCCCCGTGCTCGTAGATCAAACATGCACTTTACTACCAGTTCCCCTGGTGGGCTTTCGTCTTCTCAGAGTTCGTATTCTCCAAGCAATAGAGAAGCCATGGATCCTATAGCTGGTAAGAGCTGTAACCCAAATTTTATCCCACTATCCTCCATCCACAGAGAAAGGAGACTGCAAGGTGACAGTAGCTGCCCTGCTCTGTCGTGCTGTGAAGCTGCACGTACAGGCACAGCATCCCACAGGGCAGGTGAAGAAGGAAAGATTGTTCTTACTGTCAACATCAGAAAATAATTAGGCTGTTTCTTTAGGATTTCCAGAAATAACTTGTTTGTGCTATTTTTAGCTTTGATGTGAAAATAACTCTTTTTTACAAGGAAGAAAAAAGAGGCAGTGAAGACAGTTTTGAAAACAAATCTGGTTTTATCTACAGAGAAATCTAAGCATTTTAGACCATTCCATGGTCTTTGTCCATACCAGTATGTCAGGGAAACCTCAGAGTGTCTGCCACAAATCCACCTTTACTTCAGATGCAAATGAGGCATGGTGCTCAAACTGGAGTTTGCTACTCTCAGTCTGTAACTTCATCAAGGGGAGGTAGCCAGCCATCTGGCTTAATAAGGCACTGACCCTGGAAGGGGAGCTGTGGATCCAATGCTTCCTTAATCATGGTCCCCTTTGCCTGCCTTCTGCTGTGTGACCTGATATAACTCATTAAATTAGCTGTGAAGAAGTAGTCCATTAAGAGAAAAAAACAAGTTAAGTGGGGTCACAAGGCTGAAGTTTGTTTTCAGCCTTGCAGGACCTTCCCACTTAGCAGCATTAAATGTGGGATAAAATGTCGTTTTTCTGCATCTTTTGTGTTTTGGTGAAAGATGGTATTCCTGTGTTTAGAGCACACTGAGATGATGTCCATCTTGTTCCAGGACTGTTTTGAGTTCACATTTCTTTCCAAAATACTGCTTCCCATTATTCCAAGCTTTAGCTTACAGTGAGAATAAATATATCTTAATCTTGCCTGTGAGTTTAACATGTGTGCCTTTTTACAGAAGTAATAAGTCGGAAAGACCACAGTAATTTTTCTATTTAAAGTTTACAGCACTAGTTACTTTTCTTAAAAATTTTTTTCTGCCCTGTGGCATTCTCTAGTAATTAAAATTTAGTTAATTTTGGTGCTGCTATCAGTGTTGGTGAAAATTACTTGACCTCTCTAGTTCATATTTTGATTTGTTCCTTCAAAAACAGCTTGCTTTAGAATGATTACATTTTGTTAATACAATGGAAGAAAAGTTGTCATGACCTATGTAGTAACTTTGTAATGTAGAGGAGAGGGGCAGAAGCAGGATTGTCCCGTTTCCTCTGCCATTGCATCAACTGCAGCAGGTATCTGAGATAAGAAGTACCTTCTGCACAGAGCACAGAAGAGATTCTGCAGTAATGCACCGAGCAATAACTCGCTGCTAATATTTATTTTTAAGAAAACTTTGTGGATAAAAATTTGCAAGGAACATTCCATCTTTCTGAATTGGAAGACCTCATAACAGAGGAGGTTTTTAATTGCTAGGCTTTCTCCATGCTTGTGGCAGGTGTAAAAATTCATACAGAATGCTTTTGAAGTAAAGCAGTGATTTAATATGTTTTCTTAACTAAATTTCTTTTACTGAATGTTTGAAGCAATGGTACAGTATTTCTTTCTTTGCTGCAGCACTGGCTTCCCTCTGGGATAACTGGGAAGATGAAACTGGTGTTTTGAGGGAACACTTGTTGAAAGAGGAAAGAAGTCACAATCCACAGCCAAAATAAAGAATTTTGACTTGAAGTTTCAGAGAATGGCTGCAGAGGACATCTTCTGCCAGGCCTACCTGTAGATTGACTCTGCTGTCATTTTTGAGACTTTAAACCTTGTCTTGTTATTTGGACTAAATCTGCATAAATTAGTCTTAATCTTTATGGGCATCAATCTTCACAGTCTTCTCTGGGCACAGTTGGGTTTTGATGTTAGTTGAAAAAAATTGAATTGGTGGACTGGAATTCAGAATGTATTTATTCTGCTGTGTAATGCTCATTTAAGACGTTAAGTCACAGAAGCTTTCTCTTCTCTGGCAGAGCTTTTATCCCAGCTATCAGGTGTGAGGCGTTCTGCAGGAGGACAGCTCAACTCCTCTGGCCCTTCTGCTTCTCAGTTACAGCAGCTGCAGATGCAACTGCAGTTGGAACGACAACATGCACAGGCAGCAAGACAGCAACTGGAGACTGCACGCAATGCAACCAGACGCACCAACACGATCAATGTCAACACCACTATGACACAATCTACAACAACAACCAACACATCTAACACAGAAAACAGTCAGCAGACTATCCAGAATTCCCAATTCCTTCTGACAAGGTAATTTGTTCAGCTTATTTACTTGTATTTAACTCTTATAATTTCTGTTTACCTTACTTATAGAAGAGATACAGAGCTTTGTGAAGCTTGTATGCTTGGAGTCAGGCACATGTCTAGGATGGCATTGATTAATAGAATACTTACCTAGTTTAGAAATTATACTTAGACCACAGGATTGTTTAAAGGAGGATTCACCTCGTGTTATCTCAGTTCTTCTAGAACACTGACTACTGACCTGAAATAAAAATATTTTCCTCATCTCCCTTGCCACACCCTCTGCTAACATACTTATGTTTGTCTGGTATTGTGCAAGAGTGTGGTAATTTTAACAGCTCCTGTGCCTGAATTTGAGTCAAATGGATTTTTCTCTAAGTTCAAAATAATGCCATGTGAGATCTTTTAATTAGAAGTTCGCTTGAGAACCTTAATCAAAGTACCCACAAGTGACACAGACTGTGACTTTCAGAGTTGGAATGAGCAGTTTCCTTGCTGCTATCAGGCATGCAGTGTACCTTAGGAGAGTGGAATTACATTCAGTAATTAATTCAGTAGTGCTTTACGTGTGCAGTGATGTGTTTTGTAGCCATTGTGAACTTAGTAGTTGATATGGAAACAAAGAAGGCATGTAATTCCATGTCCAGGAAATGGCACCAGCCCTCCTAAAAGACTCCTTGAATAGCAGGAAACCTTGTAAACAGTTTTTGATGTCCCCCTAACTTTGGGCTCCACTGCAAATGCTGTCGCAGCAGCAGAGAATGGGTGGGTTGTTAAATGCATGCCTGTTGTGCTGGATGTGTTGAAGGGCAGGTGGGAGTGTTCTGAAGGAGCAGTTTCTGGGCGCGTCTCAGCCTGTGGGTGGTGTCACCAGTGAAATGGGCGTTCAGCAGCTCTGTGTCTTCTCTTCCCCTGCTGCTGCACAGGTTGAATGATCCGAAGATGTCAGAAGCAGAGCGTCAGTCAATGGAGAGCGAACGGGCAGACTGCAGCCTGTTTGTTCAGGAGCTTCTACTGTCCACCTTGATGCAGGAAGAAAGTTCCTCCTCAGATGAGGATGAGCGGGGGGAGATTGCAGATTTTGGTGCTATGGGCTGTGTAGATATTATGCCTCTAGATGTTGCTTTAGAAAACCTAAATTTAAAAGAGAGTAATAAAGGAAATGAGCCTCCTCCACCTCCTCTTTGATGACATCCCACTTTGCAGACAATGTCCTCTGTGCTGTATTTGCCAATGAAAGTGGACAACAACTATCTTGGGTTTGTTTTGGTGATTGTAATTTCAGGTCTGTCACTCTTGTTACATTGTGTACATTCAAAAGAAAGAGAGAAAAGATATATATGATAATCATTTCCACTTAACTAATTTTTACTTCTAGCAGGTAATGTAGGTTGCAGTGCAGAGCAGAAGGCTCTGTGTCCTGTACCTTGACATGCAAAAGGCTCTCCTAATACTCCACATTCAAGATGAAGAGGAAAAAAAAAAAAAAAAGAAAAATCTCTAATGAAGCTGCTGTGTGTATTTATGAATATTAATGAATAAAAACTGCTTGGATGGTTTACCTTAACTACTGCATGACGTTTTTTGCAGCGTGCATGAGTTTTAGTGACCTTGTCATTTAAAAAACTTAAATACAAGGAGTAAAACTATAAAACACAAAACTTTCCCATTATTCAAAGGTTACGTGATGAAAAAGGTTAGCGCTGAGTAGCAGTTTGTGGCCACAAAGTAGCTTTTTAATAAAGTGTGACAGAATGACATCTTCATGTGCTGTTCCTGCACAGGATGGGAACTCTGGAGTGGGATACATTGTCCTTACCGGGGTGTGGCGTTTTGTTGAATGTGACCATTATGTTGCCCTCTCAGCCCTTGCCTCTCCTATGTGGAGTTAAACTTCATTTTATGCATTTGTAGGAGACACAACAGTAAGGCCACTGCTGGAAGCTACTGCAAGGGGCTTTTGTGTGCCCCAAAATCAAATGATGTTCACTTTTGTTTAAAGTTTTTCTTTGTTGTGGTTGTTAAAATTTTTTAATTGTTAAGTATGTTTTATTCAGGTGTAGACAATTCATATATTCACTGTGTTTCTTAAAAAAAAAAGTTAATCTGGATCCTATTGTCTTAGTTTAAAAGCCTTTCACAGCCTCAATCATATTTTGAGTTATTTATGTATTTGCTTCATAGTTTGCAGAGACCTGACAGTATCAGGAGAGCTTGAGGATTTGGATTCCCAGACTGTTAGTATAGTACAAGAAATTCTTAATGCTAACTTCAGCACCTTTTATTTATTGTTTCTTTTGGTTATTTTTGCTGGTATAAAAAAAGTTGGAAAAAAAGCCTTTTAGTTGAATCATGCCACCTACATGCCTATACTGTTAATCCTACTGGTTTGGAAAAAAAGGAGTATGGTGTTCTTGTGCATAGAAATTTATAATAGCCCCAAAGCCAGGACAGAAGGGGTATTTTGGTTTTGGGGTTTTTTTTTTGTTTGGTGGGGGTTTTTTTTGTGGGGTGGGTGTTTTGTTCTGTTTTATTTTGGGGTTTGTTTTGTTTGGTTTTGGGTTTTGGTTTTGTTGGGTTTTTTTTGTTTGTTTGTTTTTGGGGTTTGTTTTTTTTTTGGTTTGTTGTTTTGGTTTTTTTTATTAAGGGGCTTTTTTGGTTGGTTGGTTGGTTGGGTTTTTTTGGTGGGTTTTTTTGAATGTGAAGTTAGAATATAAAAACAAAAGTGCACACAGCTTCTGATGAAAACTTAAACTAGGCTTATATCATAATGATGTCTTTCCAGATCTCTCACCTCACCCCCTCTCTCTTTCTCTGTATCCTCTCATCTCAGCAGCATTGTAGAGTAAATTGTAATGAATTGGACACCATGTGGTGTTCTCAGCAGAACTGTGACATGTATGCTAATCCAAAATAACAGCAGGAAAAAAGCTGACCCCACAAACTGAAGTTTAAGTTCCTTTCTCTCTCTCTCTCTTTTTTTTTTTTTTTTTCTTTTTTTTTTTTTGTCTCTGCAACAGAAAACTTTACCTGCAGCCTCTGGTTACCCCCAGTTACCCCCAGTAGGGGACTTTTTTTATTGATTGTTGAAGACTTTAAAAAATTTTTCAAGCTGTAGTTTTTCAAACACATCTTCTGCACATTACAATAAGAGACACACAGTTCAATAAAGCATTTTCAAGACTGTTGTTCAGTTGATTTTCTTTGGTTCCAATGTATTTTCCAGACAGTTTTGTTCCAGAAATTTTTGCATCTGCCTTTAGTTCTAACTCTATCTTCCAACACAAACTCAGCGTTGTGTAGACAGCCTTGGGTGGTTTATATAAATATGTTTTAAAACCAAATGCTTTGGCAGGTGATGAAGGACATAATCCTCAGCTCTTCACAGGTAGGTGAATTGAAGACTGAATAGACCAAGATGTGTTTATTTAAAACAGGTGTTTTGTGTTGCTTAAGGCTGATCTCTTATATTGCCCAAATTCTAGACACCACCACACTTGCTTGGAAGGGCATGCAAACCAGTGCTACCCATGTTTGTTTAGAGACTGAATAGATAATGGCTTGGATTTAAAAGTGCCCTTGGATATCATATTAATTTGTACAAAACAGTGGTTTGGGAGGCTGTTTGACCTTTTTTTTTTCTTTCTATTTTAGGTTTAAAAATAACATTAAATGGCTACTAGGAAGGTATTCTGGTAATCTGTAAAGTCCTATTTGCAGGCAAGTGGTTTTCCTTCTCAGAGTAAGCTTAGCCCATATAGCATTTTTGGGGTCTTTCCAAAACGTTTCAGGGTGCTTTGAGCTGCAGTGACTACAGCCTCCATCAACTTTAAAGGGGAATCCCACAGCTGGTTATGGCCTTTTCCATGTGAGGAAAAAAATCATGAAACAACAAAAAACCCACCCCAAGACCACATCCCAGCTCTCAACATGGACAACTCCCTGGCAGGAAGCCTTAGTACTCCGTGCTCACACAGTTCCTGGCGTGCAGGGACACCTGTCTTGTGACCGGGTGGTCAAGGTCATGTTCAAAGGCATCGGCAAAAGACTTGTGCTGTAAATTTGTAGAAGCATGACAATGTTCTCTTGCAAGGTTTGCTCTGTTACCACATAGATAAAGCACACAAAGGAGAACTGGATTAGAGTGAATCTGGAGTGACACACAACAGAGACTGGGGCTACGAAAGGGTGAGGATGGAGAATGTAAGGGTGCAGAGGGGGAAGGGAGACCCTCCCACTGAGTCACAAGGTTCACAATGGGCCCCTTGCCAAACTTACCCTTGGAATTGCTCAGTGCTCTATCTCTAAAGGATTTGGCAGCACTTAAATACTGACTGATTTAACTCTTACAGAATGATTCCTTAAGATTTACCATAACCACAACAGTAATTTAATTTTAAATCTAAGATGACAGCACTGATGCTACACTTGCTATGACATGTTGAAGTCAGTTTTCACACATGCACACAGACAAAGACATGTGCGTATTCAAATATTCATGTCTGTGTGCATATGTACAAAGCAGCTGTTTAAAGCTCCCCCATAGTTCAGGGAAATGCACACATTGGTTGCCTTTGCATCTCTCAGCCTCCAGGAGGGGGAACCAGCCCAGGCCCCACGGTCAGTTTTTGACGAAGCTCCTTGGAGTTCTCAAGGGAGGTGCTGGCACAGCCACTGGGAACATGGCACCTGAAGGGCCTCCCGTGGCACCCCCTTTGACAGGGTTGTGAGATGCCTGGCTTTACTCTTCCATCAGCTTCCATCCTGGAGTCAGACGAGGTCAGTAATTTCCCTCTAAAGTCCAGTAACAATAATTCTATTTCACTACAGCTGTGATTCACACAAAAATACTTTCCAAGGCTATTCTTTACAAAGCAGAAGTTAGTTAGGCAACACATTCCTAATAACAGGGAATGTTACTGATAAGTTGAAGACGCCATTAACTGTGCACGTGCAGTGGGGAGAGGTGTGCACCGACACATGCTCCTGAGTAGTGTGTGCTCTGTGTGTGTGTGTGCTGGGTGTGTGTGTGTGCTCTGTGTGTGTGTGTGCTGGGTGTGTGTGTGCTCTGTGTGTGTGTGCTCTGTGTGTGTGTGTGCTGTGTGTGTGTGTGTGCTGTGTGTGTGTGTGCTCTGTGTGTGCTCTGTGTGTGTGTGCTGTGTGTGTGTGTGTGTGCTGTGTGTGTGCTCTGTGTGTGTGTGTGTGCTG